AAATCATTTTCACATGACTAGAATACATTGATGTGTGTGTACTGTATAAGAAGAATGATCCATGATGTGTTTTAGTCTCCCAGTCTGTTCATCGTGTGACAAAGAAAGGAGGATTACATTGGAACATCACAAATAATAGGGTTGTGATAATGTTGTAAATGCTGTCTTCTGAACATACAGCACTGCATTTCATGTCCGGGGTGATTTATTGCAATTCTCATGCCTCACTGGTCCTCCACCATGCATGAGTTGACGGACAAATTCATCCAGCAAATCTCCATTATCTACTGCAAATCAAAATATAGGTATTCACAGTAGCGTATGCTTACTTTAAAGGGTCAGTTCTCCAAAATGACTCATAGTGGTATCTTGTAGGGAGGGAAATAGAGTAATTAATTACTAGTCGGACACGTACTGTACCTGATCTGGTCTTTTTTTTCTTCTGTATTAAATATTTTTCTTCAGTATCTATGGATTTCAAATGTGTGCACAAATAGAAAAAACATGGAATTAAGATAATGTACGCAACATTAAGTGTATTTGAAAAATGGAAAGCGTACTGGTATAACAGGGTTACAGAGTGTTGCATTATTGGTTGTTTCAAGCCTTTATATTGCTAGGCTAGTGAGTTTCTTCACATCTGTTTATAGCTCAGTTTAACCTACAGGAGTTTCTGATGGCTCATCTAATGTGTTTTATTGCAATGGAGGTTTTACTTTCATGTCTTGTAATTGAAGTTGTTTAATATTTGGCCCAATATGATGGATTACTCAATCTGGGATCGAGTATATTACATCACTACTTGATCTGTGAAAAACGTGAGAATGAATATCTTTAGTGTCTTCCTATTCAGATAGTTTGGGTTTTGTTTGTCCTGGTCTTGAGTTATGATGATGATATTTTTGCTCCTACTTTACTACAATGGATGTGAATGTTATTTAGTTTTTGCGACTCAAAGCATTGAAAAATGAATCAGGCTGTTTTCACTGGGAGTTTTTATTTGGTAGTAAGCAGTTCACTACTATTTTTTGTTGTCCACAACATTTAGAAAAATATTTATTCCTACAATATCAGTGTGTGGCTACAACACTGCAGTTAAGGTGAGGAAAAGATTGTGGTTATGGCAAATAAACCATGGTTGAGGTTAAAGCCACTACACACTCGCAGTCCACCCACACAACTAATGTTGCCTGTTTAGATCTGTTTAGACTGTGCTATCACTGTTATAAGTTGAGTTATAATACATTTTATTTATAAGCGCTTTTCTAAATACTCAAAGACACTTTTTTGTTGAGTTTGGGGAAATCATACGCATATTTACTTTCTTGTGAAGAGTGTGATGAGAAGATTGATACCACTCTCACAACTATGCCTCAAGTGTGGAACTGGGAGTTGATTAGCTTAGCTTTGCATAAAGACTGGAAGCAGCTAGCCTGGCACTGTCCAAAGTTAAAAACTCTGCCTTCCATCACCTCTAAAGAGCACTAATGAACAAGTCGTATCTCATTTGTTAAACCCAACACCCACTGTGCAAACTGTAACATTTGGTGTTTTAATAGAAATTGACAGGAAAGCAGAATGCACAATGAAAATCAGTTGAATACTGCCCACTATTTAGCTTGTTATGGGTCAATATTGACTTGCCTTCTCCATGTGTTTGTGGCTCTGACAAGCCCTATGGATCAAACTTCTGATGAGATTACGATCCACTTTAATGGAGATACTGTAAGTCATACGGATGGACCTCGCTGTAGAGTCGGCTCATCTCTTGGCTGATAAATCCTAAAGTGGAGGCTGTGAAGGGGGGAAAACGCTCAAGAAACCTCTCAACCTGATGTGATTGGACAGCTGCTGCTGAGGTGACCAGAACAGCAGTTAGCTATAATAGTTTTCTAACAGGGTTGCATGAAAGGTAAGACCAATTACTTTGGACATTGATTGCGCTCCCTGTCTTTGATCATGTAATTGCTTTGAGAGAGATGAGAGCAGTTCTGCTGCTAAACAGGTGTGTTCAAATCGATTATAGCAGATTTCTCATTTCTTCGACAAGAGAGACAGAGAGAAAGCAGAGAGAGTCAATGTCATAATCACGCTTACATTATCTGGTTGTATTAGACCATAGTTTAACATTATGTCATTTATCATGATCACTGGATTTGAGGATCTGAAGCTCGAGTATTTATCGGTATGTCGTCTCTCTTCCTGCTGCTCGACATTAAACTCCAGTCTGGCACTTTTCCAGTTATGTTCCCTTTCAAAAGAGGCCAAGGCTTCTCAGCTTGGTTCCACAATCACTGATCTATGTTTGAGTACGTGGGTGCAGATTACGATTAGGTTACACCCATTTGGCAGAGGCTTTCGTCTGTCTGCAGTGTAAAAGAGTTTTCAAAGTGGGAGGCGTGTTTTTGGGTGTCCAAGTGTCTGGAAGTTAAAGTGCTGTTCATTTGTTTGCATAAAGGCTACAGTTTTGGGTGAACGGCAATTGGAGTCAAATCACAGAAGGTCTCCTGGTTAAATCATCAGTAAGAAAGAGGAGTGTTAGAAAATGCAACTCTGTCTCCAAGAAATAAAATCAAGACTTGTTGACTTGTTGAATGTTAATTGTTGAGTGCTTCATGTCACTGTTGACTTTCTCTAACCTTAGCCAAGTGCTGAGGTTGTGTATATTTTATTGCAGTCCATACAGTGGATATTGTAGAAAAAATAAATGAAATGACACTGACAGTGGCAAAATATATGTTTCTTTGATAAAAAGTCATAGACACCTACGTACATAAAAAGAATATGTAACAAGAAAACTACAGAGCGCGAAACATCCAATCCTTAAGCTTAAAAGTCGTCACTCACAGTGGGCTCAAGATAAAGCCTACACTTTGAAGAAACCTGATAATACAACCAACAGTGTAAATGAGTAGTCTGTCAGATTCTGGGTCATTTTTTTATGATATCAGCACTATTGAGCAGTGTTTTGTTCCCAAATGCTACAAACTTTTTTTTTTTTATGAATTTCAAAAAACATGACTTCTCAGCAACGGGGCGGAAATACTAAAACTGATGGACAAAAACCTATTGTATTGTCAGAGTATTCAGGATATTTCCAAGGGTTTCATTAGAAGAAACAACTGGGTAAAAAAAAACGCCCACAACTAGCAAATCTCCTGCACTTACTGTATGCCACATATTTTCTTATCAAGCTACTCTTCAAGTGTGACCTGCTGTTGACACAATTTTAATCTATTTTCTCACTAAAAAGATTATAAATTGTCGACAGTACAAAGTGCAGAGCTGAGGAAACAATTGCTGCCAAGACAACAAGTTTTTCTTGGCTGTCTTTGTTCAACAGCTGCTGTAATCTACCAGAGTTTCATACAAAAGCAAACTGTAAGTAATGGTTTCCTAGTAACTACAGGACTTCATGTTCTTGAATAAATGATTCCAGGTCAAGCTTTGTGTCACAAGCTGTTTAGCTCAATCTATGTGTGTGTGTGTGTGTGTGTGTGTGTGTGTGTGTGTGTGTGTGTGTGTGTGTGTGTGTGTGTGTGTGTGTGTGTAAGTATGTGGCTGAGTTCACAAATCCCCATCACCTTCATACATCTTTTATGAGAGTCTCAGTGAGAACTCGGTGCGTACGTACTGACACTATTAGGATTCTGCACTTCATGCTAATATCAATACAAACAACCACAGCGGGCAGGAAATGTGAAAGCTCAGAGAGTGAGGCTGAAAATGTAGTCACACAGTGGTTACGTCTGTACAAGCAAGTGGTGGCCTTAAGGTTGGAGGAGCAGGAAGCATGTCTGTTTAAATCTGTGACCCGTACTGAGAGGTGGAAGAAGCACTTACATCATACAGAAAAATACTGTTGCCAGTAAATATACTAAAGTAAGAGTACAGAAGCCGATCATGGGCCTTTTCAGAATATTATATTGTAACATTATTTTATATTATTATTATTATTATTATTATTATTATTATTATTATTATATAATATATTATATATTGTTATTATTATATAATATATATTGTATATTTGGATGATGTTTACTGATGCATTAATGTGGAAGCAGCATCTTTGTGTTGTAGCTGGTTGAAGTGCAGCTAATTTTACCTACTATGTACCTACTAATATGTATCGTATTAGTGGAGTATAAAATGATTTAGATCAAAATCTTAATCTGCAAAGTAACTATGACTCATGTAATGAAGTACAATATGTACTTTAAAGTAGCATAAAATGGAAATACGTAAGACATGTACAGGCGTCAAACTTGTTTTTCAGGACAGTGCTTGAGAAAATGTAATTACTTTCCACTGAGTGTGGGTATAATAGTTTTTTGATACATACATTTCATTTTGGGTTTTCAGTACTGACATGAATCAAACTAAATCCCAGGTTAACAAATGCCCTAAAATAAGTATATATAAATAAAGTTGGCAAGATGTCATAGTTTTTATGATTATATCCTTACGGAAACACCAGTATGACAATATAATACCAGTATAATGTAGTTTTAACACTTTTGCAAATGAAACCACATAAACTTCCATTGTGATAGAGATACTTTTCTTATAGTACAAGACTGATGGTAGAAAGTGGTTTCAGTTAATGCAAAATTGAACAAATATCACCCTTTAAGCCTGTACCCAAACTTATACTTCGCCAAGAGAACACTTTGGTTTTAATGTAAGTTTTGGGGTATAAAAGTGTGGAACTGCACAAATGTGTTCTGAGAAAGTAGATGTGTCAGGTAAAGATTGCTGGATTAAAAAGAAACATCTGGTAATATCAAGGTTTTGGAATTTGATCCTCAGTCAAGCTGTTTGTTGTAGCTCTTTGACCACAATCAAGGTTATTTTGATGTAATCTTAAATGTTTTCTTGCACCAGATTTTTTAAAAACAATATTTAATCTTGGTTGAAATTGTGCTACAGATTTTAGTTTGAAAACGTTTCAGCAACGTGAGGTTGAAACTGCAAACACCTCGGGAGGAGCCTCTTACCGTCCTGTGCATCTTGTCCTCCAAATCCTGGTTGATCCTCTGAAGAGCTGCATAGCTACTCTGGATCCTAAAAGGACAGAAAAGAATTATGTCCTGTTAAAAATTCAAATCACAGCATATGATTACTAAACAGTGTTTTACTGTTCATACAGCTAAATAAGCACCACTAATCTCCACATAAATTTAGACAGGGAAATAAATAAATTACAAGATCAGGGCACTGATGGAGAATCTTGGAGGGGATTTGCAGAGTATTTTAAGTTCTTACTCATATTTGAAAATCACTCAGGATAAAAATCTGCTGAGCCAAAACACAGTAAAAAGGACTGATGATGTGTTTAAGCACCACAGCGGGAGATTCTAAGAAAGAAAAATAGTATGTGATCATAAAAACTTTAAATCTTTAAATATTTTATGATAGGAAATCAGTAAGCATGCATAAGCAGACCCACAGCACTGACTCTGCAGCTGTATGTTTATTTATTTTTCTATTTCAATTCCTTTTCTTTCTTTTGTGTTGTATTTCTTCATAACTTTCTCCTCATTGCCTCTCGTCACTCTTGCTCTTTGGTAAACCTTCCAGTGCATTAGTGAGCATAATGGAACAGGACCTCAACTCTCTATTTGTTAACTTTTTCCTGGTGTTTTATCCTGTCACCTCTCGGTTCAGCACCACATTTTCACATTCACTCTCGGGCCTAAAAGAGAGTGTTGATTAACCAGCATTTATGGCTCCACTAACCAGACAGATATGGAGAGCGTAGGCAGTGGAGACAAAAAGAGAAATCATAAAACAAAGACCTGAAAGAGATTTGAGCAGGTACAGTGGCACTGGAAGAGAGTGGTTCACTGATGAAGAACAAACAAAACTGGTCGTTATGAGCAACATATTGCTGTTATACTTATTTAAGATCAGGGTCTGTCAGGCAGCACGTGTGTCTTCAACAAGCTCTACCAATCACTTAGTTGGTTCAAACTAGGAAGAGAGGGTTGAGATTTGGTTCTGTCAATCGTTGCAAAAAGTACGAAATTTGTGCAGAGCCTGAAATACTCGGCACACAAATGCCTCCTCCAGAAGGCGGCCGGAAATGCATCCCAAAATTCCAAGAGTGTGGCAAGAGACAAGTCTCAAGGAATAGTTTTAAGTTCATTTAAACAACATATTAATTACATTATCAATCACAGGTATTTATACAATGGCCACTCTAGTCTGTCTGACCAGAACATTTGCTCTATTTGCAAATAAGCTCATTGCTTCATTGGTTATCATCATGCTAAATTAAAACTGATGGCCACTCATCTATTTGTTACTAGACAACAGCTTCTTTACATGTTGATGAAATACATTAAGATGTTTTCCAAAGATGTCAAATGTAGTACCAAAACAATGTTGTTGTAGAGCATGTCGCCCACAAGTATGAATGAATACATGCTGGCAAAAGGCCATGATGTAAATGGGATGATTCACTTCATCACATGCAGTGAAAATTATGCACTCAGGGGAGGCTAATGCATTAGTTTTCAATAATAACACAGCTTGTTGCGATGGGTGGTAAGTAAACAAACAAATGCTTGCATGCGTTTTTGTCAGGAGTGCAGCAGAAATACCCTACCCATACTCCATCTCTCTCATTTGTTATTTGAAGCTTATTTAATTTAAGTTTTGGTCTTAATGACCTTCATAAAGTATATGTAACAATCATTAGATTAATTAATTAGATTATCCAATCAGTGGATCACGGTAATAAGGTCAATTGGTGCTTGAAGAAACAGAAATAGCCAATTAGGTAATTGAATAAAAAAAGCTGTAATCTTACTGCCTGACAAGAACATCAATACTGGAAGGAAGTAACTTCAATAATGTTTTTTATCATATTCTCCCTTTTAACAGTATCTCTACATAGCAACTATAATATGTAAAGGTTGGGGGTTCGCAATTGTACAAATTAAGTATGGTAGATGATTAATGTTATGCAACTAAAACACTTGGTTAGGAAGAGATAATTTCAGGTCTGTAACAGGGCATAAACTCTGGTCTCCTGCATGATGCCCTACAGGACACACTACTTCCTGCACTGAATGTCAGCATTCATAGAAGGAGATGTGGAATCACAAGGAATATTGGCCTGGAAAAAAAGGCCTGTTTGCTTAAAAATACCCAAAACATTATGCTGTCAAAAGCTGTGAAAGACATTAAATGTGATATTTTTCATCCTACATAAAGGAATATTTCAAAACCATCCAAATAACATCCATTCCTATATAAAGGAGTTTTATGTGGAGTGGAACATGGAACATATGTAATATCCAAAAACCTGTGTAGTCCTTTGAAAGGAGTAACGGGTTCTGTTTTGATCTGTTCCTTGTTTTGTTCACACAAAACAAGGAACAGCTATACACTTGCTGTTAGATGTGGTTAATTGACACCTAAATATCATCCATGAGTAACACTGTCATGGTTTTTAAACTGTATGTTTCAGCATGTAAAAACACTCTTCATCTATCCCCTATTCCAAAATTCCTTGACGTCACAGCACGACTTTGGTGGGTGTATTTCTGGTGGGGATTTAACAGTTCATGCATACAGAAAAAGGCACACATGCCCACAGAGTCATGCACATGTGCACACACACCTGCGTAGCTTATCTGTAAATTTCTCCAGTTCCTCCTGGGCCCTGCGCAGCTCAGTCTCAAGGTACTGCCGAGTGGAATCGAACTCCGTCTCCACCATCTCTAGTTTGTGGGTGGTGTACGACAGGCGCTTACGGAGGTCGTCCTTGTGGTCGTGGAAAGAGCTGAACAGGCAGCAGAGACAGTTTTAGAGAACAGGATTCGAGGAGACACAGTCACAACACTGATGCACTTTCATTTCTGTGGAAGTTTGTCAGATTTAAAGAACCAAGAGACAACACAGAGACAGAGAGAGAAGGCAATAGAGTAAAAAGAAAAGTGTATATATGTTTGTGTGAGAGGGAGGGAAAGGGATGAAGTGTAGCTGGACTGTAATTCAGTTTGGAGTGAGAGGTCCCAGGCAGCGGGGAAGGCAGTGAGGCCGATGGGGAGGAGGAGATGGATGGAGGAGGAATACTAATCATTTCCCATTCACAGGGAGGAAGCAGAGCTGGGAAAGGAGCTCCCATCGGTGTAATGGTGAATTCCATTACACATCCCCCCTATCGAATCTCTGAAAGAATGGCAAAGGATTTTTGCCCCCAGACAAAGACTATGGATGATTCATAGAAGCAGAGCTGAAAATATAGAATGGACCACAGCTTTGTGTGTGAGTAAGCTTTAAAAGAAGGCAAAAGAGACAGAAAGAGCAAAGAAAGAGCATGAGAGGGAGTGAGAGAGAGGCCAGAATAGCACCGTTTCAACACCTCCACCATCAACAGCAACAACATAGCAGACAGGGAGCAATATTTCAGCTGTTGCGTTTGATGCAGGTTTGAGTGTGGGGGATGAAAACACACAGACAGGACTGACTGAGGGAATGGATGTGGTAATGAAAGGCTAGAGATGGGAGAGTAGGGGCAGTGTGCGCTCTGGGGGATTTAGCATTTTGCCAGACTGATGGATATTTGGCTCACGGAGAGGTTCGATGGCTCAGCACTGCCAACCAGCAGGCGCAGTGAGTGCACCTCCAAGTTCACCTCGGCCCAGAGCCTCAATTAGGAAGCTGGCAGTAAAGGAGGAGAAAATGGTGTCCACTGTGATGGCCCCAGAAAGACTTATAGACTGTGTTGTGTCAATAGGTGGGTGGGGCAATGGACAGCCTTTAATGTCAGGACACTTGGTTGAAGATCTCCACTAATTAACCCTTCATCAAGCAGTGAAGAAGTCAGTAAAACGTGAACGTAGATAAACGTCTGGCCTTTCGCGAAAATTTCACCTATATGCACCAAATACTTAAAGGAACATATGAAGAACTTGAAATACGGTATTTGATGAGTGTAGTGATTGATACCACTTTCATAATCTGTTTAAACTGTTAGTTAAAGGTCCAGTGTGTAACATTTGGGAGGATCCATTGGCAGAAACTGAATATAATGTTTTCATTAGTGTATAAATACCTGGGGAAAAAAAGGTTTTTGTCACCATGTTTCTACAGAGTAGATAGAGGAAGGCGAGCAGTGTCCAGTTGGTTGCAAGCTGCATCTTCACCGCTAGACGCCACTAAATCCTACACACTGGTCCTACACACATAGTTCAACATTTGGGATTTCTTAATGAGAGTTAAGATGATCAAACACAAAAAAAACCCACTTCTAAAGCTCACTTTGTAATATCAATGTATTGTATCTTGCTCACTTAACCTGTACAGAAACATACATGTAAAATCCTTTGTGGTTTTACAGGAAGTTATAACCTGTAACTCATGGCCAACAACAAAGATGTTGTCTGTAACTTTTTTTTAGAGACAGAGATTTGGAGGTGTTGGTAGGTGCATTGTTGAAAGAGCCAGGCTGTTTCCCCTTGCTTCTGTCTCCATAGCTCTGTACTGAGTGCACATACATGTGAGTGATTCCAATCTTCTCATCTAAATCAACTGAGCAAAAACTGTTCCTTTAAGTACAGAGCTGGATCAGAACGTTGGCCTAGCTTACCATAAAGACTGGAAACAGGGAAAGGGCTAGCCAAAGTAGAAAAAATACCTACTAACGCCTCTGAATCTGTACAAAATATAAATGTATATGTAAAAATGTGTGGTTGTAGGGGTAGCTGAGAGGGAGCAGTGACTAAGCGCAGAATCCCAAAGACTAAAACCCAAGCATGTGCTCGCAGTTTCTATCTGGCAACCTGTGCTATAGCCAGATACTATAGAGATGTTGCAAAGAAAGCAAATAAGCGTATTTCCCAAACTGTTGAGCTATTCATTGGACAGACAGGCAGACAGATATATGAGACACTGAAGAGCGTATCCAATATGCTGAGACCTGCACGTTCAGCCCACTCCGCTCGCCTGGCGCTACAACAAAACAAAATCTTTACAACCTCTCTGCTGTCTAACAGCTGCAAGTGATGTTGTAAAATCCCATGGCAAGGAGCCAGAGAGCTATGTGAAAATTGCTCTGGGCTCTTATCACTATGTAATGCCAGTTTAATTAAGTCTGAGCTCACAGCGATTGGTTATTTTTTTTTAGGGTATTAAGCTTTTTTTGTCTGTATCCAGATGTATAAGACGGTTGTTAGCATAAACGTGGATGTAGATGTCAGCTGATACATGACAAGTGATATGAAGATGAATGTTGGGAATGGATAGATGCTGCATTATGTTTTTAATGGCTTTTTAATGGTCATGACCTCCCAATAAGAATCCATTTCCATTAGTCAAAATGAATGAAATGGATTTCCCAATAATGAAGCTGATGTTTAGAGTTTAAAACGCTCCCCAGACTGACTCATCTTACCTTCTTTTCGGGTGTTTGCAACCATTTCTCTGTGTTTTAAGGGCAGTTTTGCCAATATATATCTTTTTCATATTTTTCTCTCTGCCTCGGCTCTCATGTGTGTATAGTTGTTGCCACTGCTGCTGCTGCTGCTGCTGGTCGGCTGAATGTTGAAGCCAAGTTTGAACTCTAACCACAAACCAACAGTCAAAGCTCTAAGTCTTGCCTGGGGAGGCAGATAGGAGTTGGCTATCTGTGATGACCCTGGCAAGAGAGCAGAGAAAAACAGCTTTGAAGTCCCACAGATTTAGCAGCACATTTAGTTCTGTTGACTCAAGAGAAAAACAGAGATTTTGTGTGCATTCAGAAAATGAGCCAGTTTGGTATGACGAAGCAGAGCTGGGGGATCAATTAGATAAGTTCAGTAAACAAACTTAAATAGTATGTAATACTTGGAATTATTGTACCTCCAGCTGAACTTCACACTTGCCATTGAAATACCAATGCACACAGATCTTTAAATATTTTTCCTATAATGCAAAATATAAGCACAATTGATTTTCTAAAATACAACCATCACCAGGTACACTGTTAAAGAAAAAACACATTAATATTTCACCTGTGATTTCACCTGAGCCACATTTTTCATTATTTACTTCTCTCTCTTGTTGGGAACAATTGAAAGCAGCTACCACAAACTGCAGGACCCTATGGGATAGTGAGTTATTGGCCAGCTGACCACAGAGGTTATTCCTCAATAAATCAGTGTTATGACGAATGCGCATGTGTTTCCATTTCCATCCTTCGTCATTGATCTGAGGTGCTGGGGCTTGAACTCATGTCCCCTGCTCCATAAGAACTTAATAACCTACCACTAGCGAGCATAAACTGTCAGAATAAACCTTTATAGTTGTACATCTTTCTTCATCCAGCTGCATTTGATGAGTCTTGTTGATATCAGTGTCCATTAGCTATCAACGTGATGTTATAAATCAAAAATGTCAAATTTGCTCCTGAAAATGACAAGATTTATTAAGAGAAAAACAGACGACTTCTTCCCAGAGTGCTCCCCCGAGCATGGTCTGTCAAACTTTGGATTTCTCTGCATGTTTTGCATTGCAGATAGTGACGTTATTGTTAATATAATTGTAACTGGTGTCGCTATTAACAACGGTTTTCTGGAAATTACATATATGTTATATTATGTTATTATTGGATTTGGATTAACAGTGTTACATAAACACAAAGTAATATTCTTATAATATAAGGACTATAACACTGCAATGTTCATCTGCTAGTGAGGATGTTAACTGCTTAACTTAGCTTTAGCATCAAGTCTTTTAGCATTCTATTATGTGTGTAGCCATCATGTGCATATTTGAAACATTTTTATGGGATTTTTGTTTTTTAAATGAGTCAGCTGGAAACAGTTAAAAGTCAAGTGGTGACACAATGTTGCAACCAAAAAATAGACAAGACTTCAACTGTCTAGTGTAGCGTTGCACTGCCCTAATGAGCCGTGTGGCTGCCTAATCTGTTTAAATGAGCGTCAAAATACAAAGAGAGATGTTCTGCCATGCACTGCAGATGCAGGCAGTGTGGACCGGGTGTAAGACTGTGAAAATACGTAATTACACACCCAAAGTTGCGTAAATTGCGCATATCATGATAGAGTAGAGTATCAAAAATGTTACCTGTCTCTCGCCGTTGACTACCATATATATTTTTTCCCAAATAAGGTCCCATGAAGGAGACCGAAAGGGGACAGACTAACTGGTGCACAAACATTTCAATAAGTCCATATATTTACCTTTTAAAAACCACTATGTCTTGTCCTTAAGAGCCAAGTAAGCATAAATGCATAAATAGAGACAGGGGTTGCCAGCAGCATAACTTTTATCAGTCCCTGCAGAGTGGCAGGGTAGCAGTTCAACAACAAACTGGAATGAATGTTTTGTCGCCTGCCGCCATTTCTAATGGCACCACTACTTATTATTTTTAATCTCCCTTCAACACTGGCTCAGGAAACAATGGCAGTTTCTGGAAACACTGTTGCTATAGCCATTTTCTTATCTGCAAGTCACAGAGAGAGAGAGAGAGAGAGAGAGAGAGAGAGAGAGAGAACACACACACACACACAGAGAGAGAGAAATAGTTGCTGAATTAGTAAAGAAGTGGGGTTGCATAGAATCCATCCTCACATGCACAAACAGAATCTCAGATGCTCCCTGCAGTGCATATGAAATACTGTACCCTCACTGTATCATAACACCTCCCCCAGGGGGATAAACAGCAGATCTTGGGGCCTCAGGTGTTGTTTGGTAAGGTAAACACTATCCACATGAAGGAACACATCTTAGTCCTCAGAGAACCTCTTTATAGGCTTACTGCTGTTTCTGCACTGCCAAAGGAACTCAGAACAGCAAAATATAAGTAAATCAAGCACACTTTCCTCTCTACAGCGTTCTCTCACAAGTATTAAGAGGAGTCTGTAGTGAGGATGGAAACGAATAACCTGAAAAACTTTCCCCACGTGTTACAACTTGTCATAATGATCAGACAATGCACACTACAGGGAGTACAGCAAATGGTTGTTGTAGACTATAACCTACTTCAGGCAGACAGTTTTCACTCCCCGCTCTGCCTGTATAGTTTCTCTCCTTCATGAAAATGACTCGAACAGCAAGTGACTCCAGTTTAAATTAGAAAAAAAAAAACCCTAATGCAAAACCTACTAAAGGTCACAACTAGCCAGCATCCATCTCGGATCTACAATGGGGAGCCCTTCTGGTGCCGGCAGGTTGATTTACTTGTAATGAGCCACGGGAGGTGAGTGAGGTAGAGCCACTGCCTGCCAGATATACTATTCACAGTGACCAAATGAGGATATTAAACTTTAATGGCTGCATTGCCATCCCTGCTATTTAAGCGAGCAGCTCACAGAGACACAAGCACCTCATCTACTGTAAACACTAAACCTTCATGTTGCAGCTTAGAAGGTGTTATTTTTTGTTGTTTTGGCCGTAATTTATATTGCTTAATATGACAATGTAGTAAACAAAGAAATTGCTGTGCTGCACGGTGACATTGTTGCAGAGAAGTCAGGTGGGGAAAGAGAGAAACCAGAGGTCAGACCATAAGTAAACAAGTTAACAGTTAAGCAAAACTTTCTAAACCACTTTAAACAAGTCCTCCAAAAAGGTAGTTTCTCAGTGTCTTTAAAATAAAAAAAAAGGTCAGTATGACAGTTTTCTGACCTGCCACCATATTTTCATACAACAGTGAATGTGCTCATGTTTTAGGCACAAAAAACTATTTTGTTAAAGAAATAGTTTCGACATTTCGGGAAATATGCTTATTTGCTAGTGAGATGATCTATACCACTATCTCATATGGCTACAGCCCGTAAAACAAAACTTGCTTCCCAAAATGTCTTTTTCAGTAAGGTTTAATAACGCACAAAAACGTGTACTTTAAGAGGAAGAAAAGATTGTGATCAAGGTCGAAAGGAAACGAGATTCAAAGTCGAACATATTTCATAGGCAATGTCTCACCACATTATTTGTAGGTAAAATTGAAAGTAAGCCCACTGAAAATGTTGGTAATATTCCTAATATTCATTGCACAGGACACCTACAAAGCTGACGGGCACATAATAATTGTATTGTTTTGTTTTGTCTTTCAAATATGTCTGGCTAACCTCGCAGATTTTATGATTATCTGACCATGTTTCTTGCCTCGTTTGACTTATCTCTAGCACTGCTGCTGCATTCACAGACCTTAGCAATTAACTCAGTAATGGCCAAAACAACAATAATAATAAGTTGTAATTAATCAGACTGATTCCTTCTGATGCATTTAAACTGCTGAATAACTCAAAAGGATACAACTCAAACAGCCTGAAAGCCAAAAGAGACGAAACATGAGCAGAAATGTTGATAATTAGCCACATCATTTTACAATTTTACTGCTTTTCCCCTTGGTATGGTCTACCACAGTGGTTGGGGCTCTACTTGAGAGCCATGTGTTGTGTTATTTCTTCTGATGCAAGACTCCAGAAATACAACAGTCTCCTGTGCATGCTCCACTACCAGCGGCCAGAAAAACAGCTCTGTGGATTAAGTCACCAGAGCAATGATGATGACTAGTCAACACAGTTTGCTGCCTGAAGACAAGAACTGCAACTGAGGCGCCATCCCCACACTGTTTATCTCTTCTTTATTTTCTATCTACATATCAAAAGAGACTCAACCTTAAGTGGGTAAAAGGGAGGAACTTGCTGGCCTTGAAACTAGTAAGAGCTCTAACTCCTTATAATAAATGCCTGAAGAATCAGTTTTACCTGACCACCAGAGAGGTTGAATCAAATCAGCTAAAGATGTCATTGATAACATTTGCAGTGATTAACTTGTGATCAGAGTATAAATCAGGAACTTGATGTACAGTAACATATATACGTATCAAACCCAACCATGTTCTTGCAGGTAATTTGTCAAACACAGTTCAAGGCCCGACAGCAAATATATCTGAATTCTCTGTTGGGATTTGCAACCGTAATGCTGTTTTCCAACACAAAAAGCTCCTGGGGATAAATTAACCGATAATGAATAGTTTCCCCCGCTGGGCTGTGACTCATCAAACTCCCTCCAGCTCCTTCATGTATCCATAGCCTTTTAAACAGCACGTCAGTCATAGCAATAAAGTTTTATTCGTGTGAATAATAGCGTGTGTTAGTTTTGTGTAACAAGGTTCAGAAGAAACAGCGAGCGTTCAATCAATTTTGACAATTTGTAGGCATATTTCACACTATTCCTGATCAGATAAGATCACATCGGGGGGCCACAGCAGGAAGCACCACAGGGGATCTTTTTCCTCATCAAGCTGTGGTGTGTGTGTGTGTGTGTTTTGCAGTTCAGGGCTGGTGCATAGGTTCTTCTCTTTTTCAAGTCAACGACTGAATAAGTGAAGAGTGAATTTCATACTGAAAAGGCTTTAATTTTGAGAGATACCTACTTGATTTGACTAATTCAGAAAGTGGAAGCCTCATATTAACTCAACTGCAGCACAGCTTTGAATACATTTTTACACAGAGCGAGGACTTAAGATTTTGTCCTCCATCACTTACAATGCGCATTAGAAAGGGATCTTAGAATATCCTGTATAATCATAAAGGAACGATTACAGCATTATAATGCAATACAATGTTCATGTGGGAACCTGACTGTTGTTTGACTCCTTCAAGGCTTTAGGAATGGTAGGAGTTA